GATGATGTAATGCGGGGCAGGTATGTGTCAGGGGTCTCTGAAGGGGGAGATGATGTAATGCAGCACATTTGCTTGTTCACACCCTGCCTTGTACATTATGTAGACCTGGTTTGCAGACAAGGTTACACTCAGTACTCTGTTGTTGCAGAGGCCATGGGTAAGATACCTTTGGGTTATGGTCTATGTAGACTGTCAGAAGCTGTCTGTACATGTACTTGCATGTAATAATAGAAGTGTTTCACCCTAAATACGACTGCTAGTCTTTCTCTGCTGCCGTAAGTGTGAGAGAAACATTTCTCACCAGCTTTTCTGTTCCATCCTCCATGAGTTGTGACAAACGCTCACCCGTCAGAAAGCCTGCCAGGGAACTTAGCTATTTAGTTCATTTTCCTACCCGCTCAGTGTGGATGGGAACAATGTTGGCGGAATGTTAACACGCTGCACTTAGTTCACTTACTTGATGTTGTATGTAAATGAATATGAGTAACTGTAACTACTGTTGTTACTTTGCAGTCTCGTTTATGCTGCTTATAGGACTGCAACTGCTTTATTTCTCCATTGAACAACACTGCATGCATTTTCTTATCGGAGCTGTATGGTAGTAAGTTTGCTATGTTAATACGATAATGTAACAATCATCTGTAATTGTGTTCACTTGTACCTGTTACTTTTGTTTGTTTCCTTTTCGTTTAAGCTTTATTCCTGCTGTATCTTTGTAATCTGAAAGCCACTTTGCCACATATGTGATTCGATATCAAATCAAAAAACTTAATTTGTCCCCAAGGGGCAATTTGAGGCACGTAGAGCAGTGTTGCACAGACACAGAACCTGGCATTAAGGAAATAGAACAAATTTTATATATATATATATATATATATATATACAGCGGGGAAAATTAGTATTGAACGCGTCAACATTTTTCTCAGTAAATATATTTCTAAAGGATCTATTGACATGAAATTTACACCATATGTTGGTAACAACCCAAGTAATCAACACATACAAAGAAATCAAAACAAATAAGTACATAGATTAAGTTATGTGTAATAAAGTGAAATGACACAGGGAATAAGTATTGAACACATGAAGAACAGGAGGTGCAAAAATGCAGGGAAAGCCAAGAAACCAGCTGAAATCTGTCAGTATTTAGAAAGAAATCCTGTCCCCTATCAGTGCAAATTAATATCTGCTGGTTTAGTCCTAATTGATGGCTTATAAAAAGGTTTCTTATTACCAAGGTGTCACACAAGAAGCATTTCATGATGGGTAAAAGCAAAGAGCTCACTCAAGACCTTCGCAACCTGATTGCTGTAAACCATACCGATGGCATCGGTTACAGACGTATTTCTAAACTTCTGAATGCTCCAGTGAGCACCGTTGGGCCCATAATCCGGAAGTGGAAAGAACATCAATTCACCATTAACCGGCCACGACCAGGTGCTCCTCGCAAAATTTCTGACAGAGGAGTCAAAAGAATAATCAAAAGAGCCAAGGACCAATCATGGAGAGCTTCAGAAAGACCTGGAATTAGCAAGTGCAGTTGTTTCAAAGAAAACAATAAGTAATGCACTCAGTCACCATGGCCTCTATGCAGGCTCATCGTGCAAGACTCCACTGCTGAAGAAAAAGCATATTGAAGCTTGTTTAAAGTTTGCCGCACAACATCTGGACGAACCAATGAAATGCTGGGAGAATATAGTCCGGTCAGATGAGACAAAATTAAACTCTTTGTATGTTAATAGCACACACCATGTTTGGAGGAGAAATGTCACTGCGCATCACCCCAAAAACACCATCCCAACAGTGAAGTTTGGGGGTGGGAACATCATGGTTTCGGGCTGTTTTTCAGCGAATGATACTAGTAGACTTATAACTGAAGGAAGGATGAATGGAGAAATGTAGCGAGACATTCAGGGTCCCAAAGGGGAAACAAGGGTGGACATTTCAGCAAGACAATGATCCCAAACACGCAGCCAAGGTAGCTCTCAATCGGTTTCAGAGAAAGAAATTAAGCTGCTAGAATGGCCCAGTCAGTCACAAGACTTGAATCCAGTTGAAAATCTATGGAAAGAACTAAAGATTTCCTCTGTGTATACTCTTTTAACACTAGATGGCACTAAACTAGAAAGGGTAAACTCTTACAAATACTGTATCTTGGAATCTGGCTTGATGACAAGCTGTCATTTGGAGTCCATATAGAAAGTATATTGAAAAAGCTTTGTCCTAAATTAGGTTTTTATTATCGTTTGAAAAAATGCTTTCCTTGTACTGCCAGAAAGCGATTAGTACTGAGCACTTTCCTATCAATATTAGATTATGGTGATATAATATACATGCATGCATCCACAGCCCATCTGAAAAAGCTGGACGTTGTTTATCATTCTGCTTTGAGATTTGTAACTGGTGCTGCAGCAAGAACACATCACTGTGATCTTTATGACATGGTGCAATGGACATCATTACAGCTTAGAAGGAAATCTCACTGCTTAGTATTTATTGCAAAGGCTTTAATGGGTAAACTACCTCAGTACATGTGTAATCTACTGAAACTTCACACTAATACTTACAGTACGCGTTCATCAGTAAAACTCCTCCTTTGTTCTTCAATAACTCGGACAGAGCTATAGGCAAATCCGCTTTTTGTTCATATGCACCACGAGTGGAATTCATTACAAAACATTCTAAATTTGGACTTCCTACCCTCTCTAAATGTTTTCAAAAATCTTTTAAAATCAGTTCTTATACAACAGTGCCATTGTTTTTCATAATTTGTAGCCCATATATTTATATATATATATAATTATTTTATTCTTTCTTTCTCTTCTCCTTGTCCATAACTCTCTCTGCCTTTTTTGACAATTGGAATTTCCATGTATTTTAGTTTGATAGTCTGTGTTTATTGTATTGTATTCATTGGTATGTTTGTATGTCTTTAGGTGTTAATATTACATGTTCTATGTGTATGTTGTTTGTTTATGTTGGAACTTTTGTAACTTATTGCTGCCACCTTGGCCAGGACTCCCTGGAAGAAGAGATAATGTATCTCAATGGGACATTCCTGGTAAAACAAAGGATAAATAAAATATATCAAGATTTGAAGACCGTTTGTGTGGAAGAACAGGCCAAAATCACACTTGAGCAATACATGCGACTAGTTTCTCTATACAGGAGGCGTCTTAAAGCTGTCATTACCAACAAAGGCTTTTCTTACTAAGTATTAAATACATTTCAGTAAGCGTGTTCAATACTTATTCCCTGTGTCATTTCACTTTATTTCACATAACTTAATCTATGTACTTATTTGTTTTGATTTCTTTGTATGTGTGCATTACTTGGGTTGTTACCAACATCGTGTTTAAATTTCATGTCAATAGATCCTTTAGAAATATATTTACTGAGAAAAATGTTGATGCGTTCAATACTTATTTTCCCCGCTGTATGCATCCAACAGTAAGAAAGATACTGGAGGCAGGTCCTCAAATTCTAATTTATCATTTTCTTTTGTTAGTGTGATAGTAAATAACTCCTTGTGACTTGCCATAAACTAAATATGATCCTTTGTAGCACATTTTACACAAGTTATTGGATACTGAGCTCATAAATATCACAAAAAAATAGTTGAAAAATTATATGATATATATGCATAACAAGAACTCATAATTAACCTGTAACTACTCATTAAATATGAAATTATGGCCAAAAATTTTAACAAAGTGATATAAAATTACGCAATTTGCTCAGTTATCTGAGCCAGCAAAAATGGCTGAAACTAGTCAATAAGGAACCAACTGAATTAATGTGTGTGAGTCAGACGAAGAATGTGACAGTACAGCATTTGTAAAAACCTGAAAAGCACCGTCTGGAAACTTGTGTCACGGTGTGTCATGGCGCAGGTGGGAAAAGGAGGCGACGATCCACCAATGGCTCTGAGACAATGCAGGGGTCAAAACAGCAAAACGGGGAAAAGAACTAACTATCTATACAATACAATTCCTTCAAAACACCATACTTCACGGTATAATGTATGGACAGTGTGACGGTATGAAAAATTAAACACGATTATGACTAAGATTAACTTTATTGATCCCAGGGAGAAATTACTGTCCAAGCATATACTGTAGTTACACAGTCTAAACCGAAGGCACATGTAAAACTGTCATTAATATTTCAATTTCTTCGAATGATAAATGTGTAATATTATATAAAAATTAGAATTAGGTTAAAAAGACCTAAAATCAAAACAAGAACAAGCTCAGAAACTGCAACCGTCAACTCAATGGAATTATAAGCGACTTCAGGAAAAAAGCCCAAGTCGCTTATATTATGTGGATTTGGCAGCAATGTTTCCGGTATTTTCCCCCAAGCTGTACCTGATCCGTGGGCGCGCTGCTCAATAAATACGCTGTAAATCAATCAATAATGGATCCCTACGGCAATCCTTCATTTAAAGAGAGTGAAAGGGACACGGCAAGGGCCAGTTTCAGTGTAGAGGCAACTGAGAAATACTGATAACTACTGCACACAGATTGTTTCATCGAGAAAGAAAGTATGCACAGTGATTTTAATAAATTTTCAAGGATATTTGTGATACAAGCTTAAATGGTGGAGTCCATTACCAATTTTCCTTTTTATATACTAAATCTACGAAGGACATTCTTAGTTTTTCACGATATCAATCAGTCACCTAACCGGACTAACGCGACTTGCATCATTCCAGCTCCGAACTGAAACCCGGTGTTCTGTCGATATATGCTGCCTTGTCGAAAAATGCTACCGTAGTGCTAATCGATAGCCCTAACCCTAACCCTAACTCTTACCCTAACCCTAACCCCCCCAAACCCCTAAAACCCTTACCTTAACCCTAACCCTAATCCCAAAACAGTGGAACTGCACATGCGCAGAAAGGCTCGATAGCACGTCTCGATAGATAGTATTTTATGACAGAACACCTGCCGTGCGATCCGCCCCCAGGTGCGCTGGGCGTGTTTCGGCTCCAGGCTTAAAGCGAAAGCGAAGGTCCGGTCAAGAAGACGGCATTTGGGCTGACCAGAGCGTATATATGGTTATAATATATGGTGAAGTTTGCCTGTCGTATGGAAACGGTTCTTTGAGTAAGAAAAGGAGGAATCTGCACTTCGTAGGGGAAGATGAAGATGAAATGTCTCTGCGTTATTTTGGTTCTGTTGAAGTTCGTCATTAACACTGTTGGTACGTACAGTATTGGACAAAAATAAGTCCCATGTTTTGGCGTTTTACCTGTCTGGTTTAAGAAATATGATTAAGATGACCTTAAGAACAGGACTTTGTTTTTGGTGTACTGAGTTAATTAAAAGTCATTTCTTGCCAAATTCTCAAGTAACTGATTTGTAATTCATGAGTTCTGCTCTTTTTTTTTATGCTTTATGCCATGACTTTGGGGTATCTTACTGTATTCCCCTGGTAGGTTTCCTGCTGCACGGCTCTGCTGATCCTCTCACTGCCCGGCTGGGAGGAGCTGTACTGCTGCCCTGCTTTGCCGACAGACCCCTGCCTTTGGAGGGGCTGCAGGTGGAGTGGAGAAGGACTGACACAGACACCATCGTGCACCTATTCCTGGGGGGTCAGAGCAGACCTGAATCGCAGGGGGATGCCTACAGGGGCAGAGCCCACTTACTCCCTCAGGAAATCCCCAAAGGCAACTTCTCTCTGCTGCTGGAGGATGTGAGGACTGCAGATACAGGAGTGTATGAGTGTGTGGTTTACAGAGAGCAGGAGCGTCGTGAAACACGGGTGCGAATACAGGAAGTAGGTAAGAGCCCTTCTGTGTCACGACCAAAGACACATGGCATTGTATCATTATTACTTATGTCTGGAGTTTTTCATTCTGTTGGTGTATCTGGTGGGAAATTTAGCTGCTTTGTAGAAATTAAAATTCACTTGGTTGTACTTTGTAAATGTTTTATTTAGGGCTGTCAAAATTAACGGGTTAATGCGGATTAATCCATCATCATGATTAATCTGATTAAAATTTTTAACGCAATTAACCCATCTGCAGCGCAGAATCAGCAGAAGGGAAAGTTGTAGCTTTATCCTGTTTAAGCACTACTTCTCATTTGTGACTCATTAAATCGGTCGCACATACTATACCGTCCAACTTATCTGTGGACGTGTTGCTATGGAGTTTTATACGTAAAGCACCGCGTGTAATGTGTTATCAAGTGATATTGCTAACAATGGCAATTAACCGGGCTAGAATTGGATTTCACAATTAGTTGGATTATTTGTCAGATTTATGGTAGTTCGTGCTAATTGTAAGCGAACAAAGATAAAGACCATTTAAACTGAGGTACCTTAAATCCGACAAGATGTCCGGCTAAGCAAAAAATCTTGCTTTTTGATATGAGTCCATGGTATTGCACTTCTGTGGCAGATGGAATACATCCGACTCATGTTCAAGATGTTCAATAAACATGTTAAGTGCATATATATTCATTTTTTCTTGAGTCTGTTTGCTCATGCAAAATGAAATGCGATTAATATAGATTAAAAATGAATGATATTTAATCATGATTAATCGAAATTAATCCACAGCAACCCTGTGATTAATCTGATTAAAAATTTTAATCGTTTGACAGCACTAGTTTTATTTGTTCTTTGGTGTAAAGTTCTTCTGACATTAAATTTTCAAACAAAAATGACTTGAAATAAATTTCTATCAGCTTCCATATTCCTAAGTGGCAAATTTAAAAAAAGTGATGGATTTTAAAATGAAATCAGCCCAATATATCTGAGTTTCGTCCGTAACCAGGAGGGGAAAACACAGCACTGACAGGCTGCCAGGTTGCCAGGTTGTGTGAACCTTCCTGCTCTTGTTCCAGGTCGGCTGGTGGTGACGGGTGCAGACGAGCCGGTCTATGCACATGCTGGGGCGGATGTGACTCTCAGCTGCTCTGTGGGGACCCATGTCAGTGTGACAGAGCTTCAGGTGACATGGATAAAGACAGACGGTGACATCTTGGTGCTGCTGTACGCTGATGGAGAGATCAGACCAGTGATTGAGGATAAGAATTATGCTGGAAGAGCTGAATTCTTTGCTGCAGAAATTTCCAAAGGAGACTTCTCAATGAGACTGAGGGAATTCAGGACTGAAGACGAAGGAGAGTTTATGTGTGAAGTCCACACAGATGCTGATTCTGCCAGTACGACTGCCAGGATAGTAGCACTGGGTGAGTCACTGGAAGGACTGGTTTTAATATGCATTCCATCATAGTTTGTGTGATTAAATCACATATCCTTACTCCTGATGGTCAGTGGTTCTGCGGTAGACTGATCTTTATCCACATGCCCTAGTCTAACTGGGTTTACTCTGCTAGTGTAACAGTAGAAAAGGTCAAATTTAGTCCATTTATACTGTAAGTCAGGAAAAATATTCTTATATTATATCATTCTTGTATTTTTTTTTACAAAATATATGTCACATTAGAAACAACCATTAATTTTGAGTAAAACATTCATTTCAAGTAGTTATGTTGAATCCCAAATTATAAAGAGCTGTACTGAGTTTTTAAATATTCGATGACAATCTCATTGCATTTTAATTAGTAACACCTTTGCAATAACAAAACACCAAGTATTTGTCTTTAGTATCTCTTTGGGGGTGGGGGGTGCAGTGACTACAATTGCAATTAATAGCAAAATGGCAAGAACAGAACTGATTGAGTCATTCAAAAAAAAAAAATGACTTAATAAAAACTGTGTGGAAGACGTGCAGAAATGTTAAACATCAGATGTCAGTGGACGTCTGTTATGAAACCAATAATTTGCAATGTCTTTACAGAATTAAGCAAGTGTCCCAACACTTTGTGAGATCACTGTATGCATAATGTAATGAATGAATGAATATTCTATTTAGTGCATAGCTCATATTTAATTTGGTTGGTGTAGTGTGATGCATAATTATGGCTGCATTATTATTTAATAATCATTTAGGATCGACAGAGCAAGAGAGTGTCACTGGAAACAAAGCAGTAATAACCATGTATTCTTATTAATTGCGCTTGACATTGTTTGTAAATAATGAAATTCTATGCAAAATGTGTACATTTATCAAAACCATATATGGGAATATGAAAAATCTAACATTTTAATATGTAGTTTTAAGGTGGAACAACAGTTAATAATCCCACACCTGTGGAAAAAGATTTAATCCTAAATTTCTGCTCCAGTTTGTGAGGCTAACTGGTGGGTCGGACGTGCGGATTATGCTGCAGCATGAATACCAGCCTGTCTGAGAAAATGATTAATGGAATGTAATTCTGACCTTTTTTAGAGTATTCATCCCTGTTTTGGTTGAATCTGTGGCTGTGCATCGCTGTCACACCTGTAGTCCTACTTACTGGTGCTTTATCCGTCTGGCATTTTGTGAAGGAAAGTAAGTAATTTTGAAATATATTGTTTTAATCCAAACTTTGTAAAACGTGTCAAACTGTGAAGCGTCTGTCATTTCTAGCCATTTCAGTTCATCCATAGTTGGCACCACTTATCCTGTTGAGGTCATCTCAGCAGACATGGGGTATCAGACAGGACTGTATCTACACGCATGTCATTGAAATTCTCCTAAAAATAATGCAGGGGCTGACAGTCTGTACTGCTTGTCTGTAGGGGAGGATACAGCAGAATGACCAACTGAGGACGGCTGTAGATCATTAAACTTTGCATGAACCATCATCTAATGGTAATTTAATGTTACATTTGGTTGTACTTTCTGTCTATAGGTAAAAGCAGACAGGCTGTGTTGTGTCACTGGTCACATGTCATAGCTCCACCAATCATGACGTCCTCAGCATTCATCCTGTGGGGTCTAACTGCAGGTGGGTCCATTTCATGTGGTTTATACATTTTTGTTTTTTGATAATTGTAAAGAATGCTTTGAAAGCTGACAGATTTTAATTATTTGTGTCCTGTTAGTGAATAATAATAATTGATACTTTCATTAATCCCCATGTGGAAATGATCTTTTACGAAAACAAGAATATTTTTTCTAGGGCAAACACATCAAAAGTTATTAGCCAAAATGCATTTTTTGCTTATTTCAGTATAGTCATCAAATGGCATTATTTTTTTTTACTTCCTCAAAATTGGGACGCGAGTCCATGTACCAAGTTTGGTTTTGATAAAGCAAAGCATTACTGAGATATGACCTCACTTCCTGTTTGGTGGCTTTGCCATCGAAATTCATCGACGGTGGCCATATAGTGAAATTCTTTGAATACCTTTGGGTCAGATTTCTATGCAGATGGTATTTACCAAATTTGGTGGTGACAGGATCAGTGAACTAGAAGTAGTTGTGGGCGTCAGAACCACAATATGGAACCTAGATGCATTTACCCTCATTATACTGCCCCCTGGTGGTTGAATTGGATGCATTTTTGTGTGTTTGTCCTCACGTTAATGTCTAATACCCAACCTGAAAATTTTGAGTCATTTACTGACGATGTAGGCTATAGAGGCAGTTTATTTTTTGTAGCGCCCCCTGTTTGTGTATCTGCATCAAACTTGATCTGAATAAATTACTGAAGGTTCATCCCATTTTGACAGTGATTCATAGCAAGTAACGTAAATTTACATGGAAAAACAGAAAAACAAACCGAAATAGGAATCTTGTTGAAAGCCAAAATTAAAAAAAGTCAAAATAAAAAAAAAGGTGCAAAATTATTATTGCAGTGGTCGGGCCAAGGATTACATTAACACCAATTAATTGTTTCTGATTGAAAAATCCAGTGACAAGTGTCTAAAAGTAGGTTTTGCAAACTTTGCAAAACAGCAAATAAATAAATAAATAAATAAATAACCATTAGCAGAATTTGTGCATGTACACAGTTCAGGAGTTACAAACCAAAATGTGTTGTGTATTATTATAGCACCCCTAGTGGTTGACATTGGTCATTTTCTCCATGGCCCTAGACCTCAATGTGATATAGCTACCCTGCAAATTTTACAGCTGTTTGGACTGTAGAATGACCTTTTACACAATTTAGAAAATAATAATAAAAACAATCAGGGCAAAAGCATTAGGGATATGGCAGCTACCTGTTGGAACCCCCCAATAATAATAATAATAATAATCATCATAATTAATAATTATTATGATTATTATTATTATTACTCCTGAATCATGATGGCCAAAACGATACTTCATGAACCATTTCCTGTATTTTCTTACCCCACTAGATGGTGCTCTCTGTTCAAAAAAGGACTCAAAGCATGCCCCCATCCAAACCAAGAGCAACTTATAGTGGGGTCAGAAAAGACAGCAAATGGTTCATGAAGCCTCGTTTTGGCCATCACTACTCCCAACTCACCGCAATCGACAAGTTAGCTAATTTAGCACGTTTGGTTGAAGCGATTAATAGTCAATTCTGGTGAGACTTAGAACCATAGGAGTTGTTTATGATATAATGTATTATTGTTATTTGTCATTTATTTGTCAATCTGCGACCTGCAAATAAACCTGCAGAACAATCCCTCAGTGTCATCTGGTGTGACTGGTGTTTCCAGGAAGACTGGGATCCAATCTGCGACCTGCAAATAAACCTGCTGAACGATCCCTCAGTGTCATCTTGTGTGACTGGTGTTTTTCAGGATCCACAGGAGAGGCTGTAACTTGTGCTGTCGTCAGTCTGCTCAGTGTCCTGCTGTTGTTTAATATGGCTCCGTATCAGGGATTATTAACAGGTATGTTTTCTTATTTCTAATGTTCTGCTTCCGATGTACAGTGTGTATATATATATATATATATATATATATATATATATATATATTAGGAAAATAATAATAAAAACAATCAAGGCAAAAGCATTAGGGATGTGGCAGCTACCTGTTGGAACCCCCCAATAATAATAATAATAATCATAATTATTATTACCCAGGTGGGCCCACCACCCGTAGGGGGAATGTCAGGGGTTCGGTGCTTTGTGGATCGGGTGGCGGCCAAGGGAGGCCCTGGCGGTCCGATCCCCGGCTGACAAAACTGGCTTTCGGGACATGGAATGTCACCTCTCTGGTGGGGAAGGAGCCTGAGCTTGTGCGTGAGGTTGAGAGGTATCGACTAGATATAGTTGGGCTCACCTCAACACATAGCTTGGGTTCTGGAACCAATCTCCTGGAGAGGCGCTGGACGCTCTTTTCCTCTGGAGTTGCGGCGGGTGAGCGCCGCCGGGCTGGGGTGGGGCTATTGGTGGCCCCACAGCTCGGTGCATT